AGTGCAGCTCAGTGCTTTGTGTCCACCTAGAGGGATGGGATAGGGAGGGTGGGAGGGAGACGCAAGAGGGAGGAGATATGGGGATATATGTATATGTATAGCTGATTCACTTCGTTATACAGCAGAAACTAACACACCATTGTAAAGCAATTAAACTCCAATAAAGATGTTTTAAAAAAAAAGAAAATTTACTCTGGCAGAAGCTAAAATTTGATACGATTACATTTAATACAGATAAATCACAATTAATAAAGCCTGTGTTGTAAAAAAAACATGTAAGTACATATTCACCTTATATTCAAGATATTTGCTTTCTCTTATAAATATCTGTCAGAGTTTTATTTTCTAATCATCTTTCCTTTCTCCACTGATCTGATGTTATCTTTATTATAAACTAAATACATACATTTGAGTTTGTAAAATAATCACAAAATGAGAAATACAGACACTTGAAAATGTTTAGAGTAAACTGTGTAACTCTGTGCTGATAAATGTGAAACTATAAGTGAAATAAACAATTTTCTATGAAATAAAAAGGTGCTCAGTGAACTCAGGAGAAGAATGAATGAACACAGTGAGAAGTTAGAAGTTTCTAACAAATAGTTAAAAAATATAAAGAAGTAAACAGAGCTGAAGAAGATAATAGCTGAAATAAAAAGTACACTAGAAGGAATTAACAGTAGAGTATATGATACAGAGGAACAGATGAGTGAACTGGATGACAAAGTAGAAGAAATCACCCGAACTGAACAAAAAAAGAAAAAAAGAGTTTTTTAAAAAGAGGACAGTTTAAGAGACCTCTGGGACAACATCAAGCATAATAACATTCAAAATATAGGAGTCCCAGAAGGAGGAAATAGAGAGAAAAGGGCAGAGGAGTTATTTGGAGAAATAATAGCTGAAAACTTTCCTGACCACGGAAAGGAAGTAGACATGCAGTTCCAGGCAGCACAGAGAGTCCCAAAGAAAATGAATCCAAAGAAGTCCACACCAAGACACATTGTAATTAAAATGGCAAAAATTAAAGATAAAGAAAGAATCTTAAAAGAAGCAAGGGAAAAGCAACTAGTAGCATACAGGGGAACTCCCATAAGGCTATCAATTGACTTTTCAGCAGCAACTTTGTGAGCAGAAGGGATTGGCACAATTGATTCAAATTGATGAACATACCAACCAAAAATACTCTACTCAGCAAGGCTATCATTCAAATTTGAAGGAGAGATAAAGAGTTTTACAGACAAGCAAAAGCTACAGAATTCATCACCACTAACCAGCTTTACAAGAGATATTAAAGGGACTTTTCTAAGTGGAAAGGACTACAACTAGAAATAGGAAAACTGTGCAAAGAAAAATCTGATTGGTAAAGACAAACATACAGTAAAATAGATCATCCACTTATAAAGCTAGTAGGAAGGTTAAAAGACAAAAGTAGTAAAAACATCTATTTCCACAAGTATTTAAGGGATACACCCCACAAAAAGATATAAAATGTATCAAAAACATTAAACATGGCAGGGGATTTTAAAAATGCAGGGTTGTCAGAATGGTTTGATCTTAAGGGATCATCAACTTAAAATCATATATGAATAAATTTAAAATATATATTATTTATTATATATATATCTTTATAAATATTGTTATATATGAACCTCATTGTAACCACAAACCAAAAATCTGTAATAGATATGCAAAAAAGAAAAAGGAATCTAAACACCAAATTATAAACTCTAGTACTAAAGATAGTCATCCATTAGATCACAAGGATACAGAGCAAAAACAAGAAAGGAAGAAGAGAGAACCACAGAAAGAACCAGAAAACAATGAACAAAATGACAGTAAGTACATACATATCAATAATTATTTTAGATGTATTGGACTAAATGCTCCAATCAGAAGACTTAGAGTGACTGAATGGATACAGAAAGAAGAACTATATATATGCTTCCTAGAAGAAACTCATTTTAGATCTAAAGACACAGAGATGGAAAGTGAGAGTATGGAAAGAAGTTTTCCATGCAAATGGAAACAAAAAGAAAGCTGGGGTAGCAATCCTTATATCAGACAAAATAGAGTTTAAAACAAAAACTGTTATAAGAGACAGAGAAGGACATTACATAATGATAATGGGATCAATCCAACAATATATAATAATTGTAAATATTTATGTCCCAACTTAGGAGCACCTAAATATATAAATCAAATATAAGTAGACGTAAAGAGAGAAATTGTGTTGAGTTACACAATAATAATATGGGACTTTAACACCCAACTTACATCAATGGAAGATCATGCATCCAGACAGAAAATCAATAAGGAAACACTAGCCTTACATCAGATAGACTTTATTTATATGTACATCTATGTATATATATGTATGTATAAAACATTCCATCCCAAAAGCAACAGAATAAACATTCAACCACATATAGAACATTTTCCAGGATAGAGCACATACTAGGCCACAAAATAAGTCTCAGTAAATTTAAGAATATTGAAATTATATTAAACATCTTTTACAATCACAATGCTTGAGACTAGAAATAAACTACAATGAAAAAACTCCCAAAAAAAACCCAAAAAACAATGGAGGCTAAGCAGTATGCTACTAAACAACCATTGGGTCACTGAAGAAATCAAACAGGAAGTCAAAAAATAACTGGAGTCAAATTAAAATAGAAATAGAATGGTGGAAAAGCTTTGGGAAGCAGGAAAAGCTGTTCTCAGAGGGAAGTTTCTAGCAATATAGGCCTACCTAAGGAAGTAAGAAAAATCTCAAATAAGCAATCTAACCTTACACCTAGAGGAACTAGAAAAAGAACTAATAAAACCCCCAAAGTTAGTAGAAGAAAAGGATCAGAGCAGAAATAAATGTAATAGAGACTTTAAAAAAATAGAGAAAATCAGTGAAACTAAGCTCTGGTTCCTTGAAAAGATAAACAAAATTGATAAACCTTTAGCCAGAGTCATTAAGAAAAAGAAAGGACCCAAATAAAATCAGAAATGAAAGAGGAGTTACAGATTCATATTTCTATACTGACAATACAGAAATATGAAAGATCATAAGACATTACTGTGAACAGTTATACACCAATAAAATGGAGAACCAAGAAGAAACGGATAAATACCTAGAGATGTACAGTCTAGGTACAAGACAAGGATGCCCACTCTTACCACTTTTATTCAACATAGTATTGGAAGACCTAGCCACAGCTATCAGACAAGAAAAAGAAATGAAAGGTATCCAAATCAGAAGGGAAGAGGTAAAATGTCTACTATACATAGAAAATCCTAAAGATGCCACCAGAAAACTACTAGAGCTCATTAATGAATTCAGTAAAGTTTTAGGATACAAAGTTAACATACAGAAATCTGTTGCATTTCTATACACTAACAATGAAGTATCAGAAAGATAAATTAAGGAAACAACCCCAATTTACCTTCACATCAAAGAGAATAAAATAGCTAGGAATAAACCTACCTAAAGAGGCACAAGACCTGTGTGCCAAAAACTATAAGACATTGATGAAAGCCATCCAAGGACTAAATTCCAAAAGTTAAAGTTTGGAGAGATGAAAATTCCACTGAGACTGAGAAAGAGAGAAATACTGTACAGAATAGTTAAAAAAAAAATTCCAGAAGAGAATAAGCAATAGGTGACATTTACATTTTACAGATTGGGAAACTGAGGCCAAAAGAGGTTAAGGAACTTGTCCAAAGTCACATAGCTAATGAAATGAGATACTGGTTTCAAATTCAGGCAGTTTGGGTATAGGCAATATGCCTGTAACTATTAAGGGTTCTTTTTTTTTTGTTTAGTTTCTGTGTTTTTTTAATTGAAGTATAGTTGCTGTACATTATTATATAAGTTACAGATGTACAATATAGTGTTTCACAATATTTAAAGGTTATACTCCATTTATAGTTATGATAAAATATTGCCTATATTCCCTGTGTTGTACAACATATATTCTTAGCTTATTTTATATCTAATAATTTGTACTTCTTAATCCAGTATCCCTATACTGCCTTTCCCCTCTCCCCTTGCCCCACTGGTACCTGAGGTTATTGTCTTGTGACTTATTTGATGAACTTCGTTTTCAATAAATATGTTTTAAGATTTAAGATTGCGTTTTTCTAGTTTCAATGGAGATTGTAGTATTAGTAGATAATTCTGTTTAAATTATTTTAGAGAGATGGATGCAATTCCTTTGGGAAATTTTTACTTTGAGATGTGTTTATTATAAATAATGTTTTCTGGTTATAATTATATAAATTCAGTGTTTCTAAGTTTTTCTGATATTAAAAAACATTTTTCCTTCTAGGAGTACATCATTTTGACATAAACACCTAATCAGTCTTTTAAGTTGAACCTTTCTATGCTTTTTTTTTTTTTTTTTTGGTGTAATTTCAAAGCATGAAATACTTGTAATTTACTTTAATGTAAGGTTCAAGTTGAATTTAAGGCTTTCAGAGTTATGGTCAAGCTTATGTAAGAAAGTGCTGGCAAGTAAATTCTCTAGTCTTGATTTCATAGCCATCAAGAATTTTATTCTATGCTTTATAAACTGGAATGAGTGAGAAATCAGATGAGTTTTGTGAAACACAATGAAGAAATTAACAATTCTACAAGATTTAAAATTCCCTTTCTATTTAAGTAACTAGATGAAATTATCATATTTAAAATTTTTTATGAATGACTTATCAATTAATAAGGTATAATTTCAGAATTTTACCTCTTTAAAAAATTAAAATCTTCCTAGGACAAACTGAATTATGTATGTTTGAATTAATTATGACAAATTTAATTCATTCACAATCGTGATATAGTTTTTCTTATAGCACATTATTTAATGGTTTTAAAACACTTCTAAATTTAGAGGTTGACTTAAAAGTGATTTTTGTGTAAATAGTGATTTTTTGACCCAAATGTTTATTTAGTTGACCTGAAACAGTACTTACTATTACCAAAATTAGATTATTGTTAACTGTTTGTTCCAAAGGTTGCACAGTGAATTAAAAGATGCTGTTGAAAAGCAATTGGAAGCCATTCCCTTTGGCACAGAGATGGGAAATGAGATATGTACAGATGATGAAACAGTCAGGAATCTTCAAGAACAACTACAACTGGCCAATCAAGTGAGTGATATATGTATTGAATTATATCCTAAATAAACAGTTTCTAAAAAATCTATAGTCAATCATTATTTATGAATGATAATAACAGAATATTGAAATTGTTAGCATAATGATTTTCTACAGTTTGCAAAATAGTTAACAGGTAACAAAGCTTATAATATGTGCCCTCCCTGTATGTTATAAATGTACTTGCCATGTATATATTTTAACTGAATCTTAATTCTTTTGGCATGATTTTTTAAGTGTTATAAAATATTTTAATGCCAAAGAAAATTTTTAAAGAATCAATTATCCACTTGCCTAAATTTACATTTTTCATTTTCCTGTGTTTTCTTTTGATACTGTTTTCAATTTTCAAAGATTATATTTTCCTAAAGTTATGCTTCTTTTAGAATTATACTTTTTCTCCTTTTTTCCTCCTTCATGGTAATTGAAATATTTGGGAAGCTATATTGTATATATCCTGTTTTCAGCACCACAATTTTTTTTGGTTATATGTAAGGGAATTTTATTTTAATTTACAATTTTGCATCCTAGGTATCTCATATCTTTTATGGATTTTAATCCCATTCTTCTACCTTCCTGTGTGCCTCAGTTTCTTCATTTTATAAATGGGGATTAGAAATACTTTATTACAATTTTGATTTTATAGTTATCTATGAAAAGTCATATTTTTTTATTCCTTGTAAATTTGGTTTTGGAATTCTTTGCTTTTGAAAGTGATATTTTAAGTTAATCGGATAGGTTGTATCTACCTTGATAAGGAGCATTATGTAGCACTGAACTCTTTTTAATGTGTAAAGGGAAGGAATTTGAAAAATAATAGAGGCAAAAATAATGAGAAAAGCATGTTCTTTACTCTGTTCTAGACTAGTATTTCAGAAAGGATTTATTAATGTTGACATATAAATAAATGAAAATTAATGTAAACTTATAAATGCTTTCTAACAAGGTATTAAATATGTCCTTTGAAAGCTGTGGCAGAATGTGCATTTCTTATTACTCTTTAAAAATATTGTGACAGACCATATGTAAAAGTACACCTTCAATATAGACAATGATTATTTGTCAGTCATACCTCAATAAATCCAAAAATTTTTTTAATTTATAAAAAGAAAAAAGAGTGCAAAACTAGATAGGATTCATTTTTTGTTTTGTTTTCTTTTTTTGAAACTACAAATCTTATGTTTTAAAAGCATCTCCCTGTAGTAATTTTGTTGCTATAATTTCTTTTTGTTGTTGTTGTTGCTATAATTTGTATTGCTAAATTTTGTTCTTTGTTTTTTTAAGCCACACTTGTTCTATCTTTTCTCACCTCTTTCTCCTCCTATCTTCTCCTGTCTTTGCCTTTCTCCATCTCCATCTTACTTGGTACATATTATTTTTCTGAAGATGGGGTCCTATCTTTTTGTTACATTTTGGATCATTACTTCACAGAAGCTTTGGTGAGGTACAAGTTTGACCAGTCAAAAATGAAAAAGGAGATTTGTTAAAAACAAATTTTGCCACAATATCTGCAGTGTATTTTGTGTATTAAGTGTGGAATTTTAACTGAGTGAGAGTTTTGGCAATTTTATAAAGTATGAATAATAGAAAAATGTTAATAAATCCATAAAATAGTAATGTCAGATGTTAATTCTGCTTATTACTTATACATACATGTTTATTAAATTTATTATTAAGTTCTAGTAAAACACATACAATTGTTTTGGTATCCATCACTAGATTGAAAGCCCTTTGTGTCATGCGTGAATATTAGGTGAATCCAAACTGAATAAATTTAAAACTCAATAAAATACAATTTATAGTAGAAAATTGAGAGAAAGAGGGAGAATTCTTTATTATATTATGCTTTATTAAAGTAATAAGTCTAGAGAATTTAACAGAAGATTCAAATACCTTCATCCATTCCACAGATATTATTCGGTGTCTATTATATATGAGGCACTGTGCTTAGTATTTATCATATACAGTGCAGAATGTTGGCTCCTACTTTTGTGAAACACACAAGCTTTTGGAAGAAAAGTTTGGCCAAACTTCTTGAGTTTGGTCCCCATTCTACTTTGTAGCTCTATGATCTTGGGAAACTTCTTTGTGCTTCACCTTCTTCATTTATAAATGGAGATTATAATAATTCTTATTTTATGGAGTTCTTATGGTAATTAAAATTTTGAATCCCCATTAAGCACATAGGGTAATGCCTAGCACATGTGTGAGTTCATAAATCTACCTATTATTTTTATCATCTTTATCATTATTATTACTAAGCAGAATTAAAATTAGGTGCAAAAGGTTCTGTGTATCTCAAGTATAGTTGCTTTGGGAGCCAGTAGCACTAGTACAATATCAAGTACCTAACTAAATATTTTTAGTTTGGAGTATTTTGCTCTCCTATAATAGTGTGATTTGTAAAAATCTTTCTGGAGGGCAGTTTGGCAGTAAGAGCCTTAGAAATGTTCATATCCTTTAACCAATTAATTAGATGGTGACATCACATAGATTCTAGGAATCTGTCTTAAGAAACAGTATATAAAAATATATGAATAAATATATTCATTATAGTAATGTTTTGATAGTGAAAAATTGGAAGTAGTTTAAAAACCTAAAAATGTGGAATCACCTAAATTGTGTTTTTTCCAAATGATGCGTTATACATTAGTACAGTGGTTCTCAAATTTTGGTGTGTATCGTAATCACCCGAGGGCTTACTGAAATAAAGATTGTCACCCCCTCCCCCAAGTTTTTGATTCAAGAAGTCTAGGATATGGCTCAGTAATTTACATTTCTAACAGGTTCTAAGGTATTGATGCTAGTCCTTTGAGAACCACTGGCTTAGGAGAATCTGGGCTTTCTTCGTAGTCCAGATGACTCTTACCATCAGGCACGTTTGGGAAACTGCAGTCTTTTGAGTTACGAGGCATTTTTATGACTATTCTATTGAAAAGAAAGCAGTCTTAAGGAAATAAAATGAATTGTACAGGGTCATTCAGCCAGAATTAGAAATCCAACCCAAATTCTGGCTCCAGATTCTGCTTTTGTCTACATATTTTTAAACTACATACATTTTAGGCAAAACTAATCAATAATTTTAAAAGTCAGGATAAAGGTTATTTTGGGAGGATTGTAGTATCTGTAAGAAAGGGGCAACTGGCTTCTAGCTGCTGGTAATCATGTTCTCTTTCTTGAACTGGGTGCTGGTTACATGGGTGCACTCACTGTACAAATTTATGATTTGTGTGTTTCTGAATGCATGTTATGCCTCAGAAATAGTTTCCTTAAAGCTTGTAAGTGTATATTTATTTGAAATGTATACTCATTTTGTTCCAAAAATGCATATCTTTTCACTACACCTTCTTACCTACTTACTAAAACTGAGAGAATTAGCTCTGACCTGGGATTTAAAAGCTTGGGCTTTAGGGACAAAGAGATGAAAGTTTCTTCTTGATTCTGTCAACAGCTTGCTGAGGTAACTATACTTCAATTTTTAAAAAGTACATGCAAAAAAGAAAAAAAGAGAATAATGCTTTTTATATGCTAGCTTAAAGTTTCTCAACCGTTTTGGTTTCAGGACCCCTCTTCAGTATGCTTAAAAATTATTGAGGACTCCAAAGAGGTTTTTTTTGTGTGGGGTATTTATCATATTACTAATTAAAACTAAGACATTTTTAGAAACAAATGGGAGCATAAGAGTGCATTTTGGTAGCCATCAGAGCAATGACAACATTACACAGTACATCATATAAACTTTGGAAAACTGTACTGTACACTCATGAGAGGATGAGAGTGAAAAAGGCAAATAATGTCTTCATATTATTATGAACAAAATTTTTTCTTCAAGGGTCCCCATATCACTTTTGAGAATTACTATATTGAAAGAATAGTTAATGACCTGAAAAAATTCTCATTATAAAATTCCAGGTGAAAAATAGACAATGCAAACAGCACACTATGTGTTTCCCAGTTTTTTTAAAGAAAAAAAATACAGAATTCTCCCCCCCAAATCACATTTATAAACAAGACTACATCTAACATTCATAAAGATGTTTATATCCAGATGTTAGCAGTATTTATTATCAGGTGCTAAAAAATATTAGGTAATTTTATTTTCTTCTCTGTTTTTCTGTACTTTCCTAATTTTCTATGATAAACATTTATTACTTTAGCAGTCAGAAAAAAACCTCTTGTACTTTACCAGGGACAGTTTTCATCAGTAATTTCTATGGCTTACACTTTCTGGAACAAGAAAGTGATTGAAGTGTTTTAATTTTAGCTATTAAATCTAAATAAAAAGAAAATTTCAAAGTAAGGAGTTTTCATCTTTAGGTTTATTCTCTAAATAATTTTTTAAATTAATTAATTTATTTATTTTTGTCTGCGTTGGGTCTTCATTGCTGCACACGGGCTTTCTCTAGTTGCAGCGAGCGGGGGCTACTCATTGTTGTGGTGCATGGGCTTCTCATTGCAGTGGCCTCTCCCATTGCGGAGCACGGGCTCCAGGTGCATGCGCTTCAGTAGTTTTGGCTCGTGGGCTCTAGAGCGCAGGCTCAGTAGTTGTGGCGCGTGGGCTTAGTTGCTCCGTGGCATGTGGGAACTTCCCGGACCAGGTCTCAAGCCCGCGTCACCTGCATTGGCAGGCAGATTCTTAACCACTTTGCCACCAGGGAAGTCCCTCTAAATAATTTTATTTACAACTTTATATCATCAAAAATATTACAACTATACGATCTTAGACAAGTTCTATTTTTATTTTGTGGCTTTATATACAAGAACTCATTCTGTAAAAGAATATGATTTATTTGTACTATGCTAATTTATTTGTAGCCTGCTAATAATTTAATGAGTTCTGAAATGTGTTTCTTTTATAGGAAAAAACTCAGGCTGTAGAACTCTGGCAGACTGTTTCTCAGGAGCTGGACAGACTACAGAAACTTTACCAGGAACATATGACTGAGGCCCAGATTCATGTAGTTGAAAGTCAAAAACAAAAGGTAATCTTGGATTTCATGATTTTCTTGTATATCAGTAAGAAGTTGCATTCTGGAGAAACTCAGTTTTGGAGAAGAATGCCTAAGTCTTTACCGCATTATTTATGTTGGCAGTAAATTGATCTTCAGTGGTTAGAAATCTTTTGAACACATAAGATAATCAAAACTGTGCCTAGTGTACATAGGGTTTTATAATGTGATTAGCAACGATAGCTGTATTTAGTGCTAATAAGCAGCTCTAAGATTATTATGTGTAAACGGATCTCCAAAACTTTTATATTCTTGATTTTTTTACCTGGTTAAAAAAGACAAAGACTGATCATTAGACCATGGACAGTGAAGAAGCCTGCTCAAATGTGATGACAACACTTGTGAAATGAAAATGTTAACAACCTTAAATGTGACCTTTTACTAAAATGTGAAGTTTGTCTAACATAAATTAAGCGGAATAGGATTTTACAATAGGAAGGCTCTTAATGGTTATTAAGGACTTCTTTCTATCCAAAGCAAGAATGATTTTATATTCTTTTAAAGTGAACATATAGCTTTTGCTTTATACCTCTGTTGACAAGAACGTACTATCTCACAAGACCATCCATTCCATTGGAAAATCTACCTCCCTTATCTTTCCATTGGTTCTTTTTCTGCTAGGTACATTGAAATCTATGGAGAAATTCCAATTCTGATTCCTTTCCTGTGGATTTTTGAGAAGGCAGCTGTCTAAATATACTGGTTATCATGCCTCTCTTCAACTCTCATTTATAGACTTTTCAAATTCCAGTTTATGACTGTTTCTATTATTATCACTATAACTAGGAATTTCTACCTAAAGAAGTCATAATAATACTTAATGATGCTTTACAGTTTACAAAATGATTTTTCTATACATGCCCTGGTTTGAAAATAATTCACATGTAGTCTGTGCCATAACACTTACCTCTGAGATCTGGAAACCGTTTCTAATATAAGTTTGTTCTTTTAAGGCTGTTTTTTTATTAGGTTAATCAACTAAGCCATTAGGTTTAGGGAATTTTTTTTCCGCTTGAATAAGATCATTCTTATGCTATAGCTTTGCAATTAGTGTTTTTTTCTTTCCTCTTTTTTCTTTGGCTGCACCTCTCAGCAAGTGGGGTCTTAGTTCCCCGACCAGGGATTGAACCCATGTCCCCTGTATTGGAAGGTGGATTCTTAACCCCTGGACCACCAGGGAAGTCCCTGCAGTTAGGGTTTTTTTGTGTTTGTTTGTTTGTTTGTTTTTGTATACGACTTAACAAATAATACTCTGTCCTTATTTCCCTAGTTATCCATCAATCTTGAATTCTGTCATCTGACATATGATGTTTAATCCGATCATAACAGATAATCAAAAAATTTAAAACTTGTGGGGCATTCAAGCCATGAGAATTTTAAAGAAGGAGGAAAGGCACAATAACTCCTGTGCTGTGGTTTGTACTGTAGGTTTTGAATAGGTTTGAATATTGTTTGTCAATATTGGGTAATGTGTCTCTAGCATATCTATCTACTAATGGATTGATTTCTAGAAATAATGATTTCACATAAAACATAAATAGCTACATTAGTTTCCACATTGCCACCTTATTTAATTTTGTAATCATTAAAAAATTTTTATCTTTTTATTTCTTCAACTGTTAATTCACACAGTACTTGTGAGAAGAAATACAATTGATGTCATCTAGATTTAGGCATAATGATTTTAGCCTTGATTTTAGTTTAATTTTAAATATGGGTTGCAAACAAAATGCTATTTATGTATTCCCTCTTCCTACTACAGGATCAGCTGACCAATTTTCAACAACTGACCAAGCAACTTCATGTAACTAATGAGACCACAGAAATGGTAAGTGAAAATATCCATTTAATGCACTTGTTATATAAACTAGAAATTGTCACTATAAGTAATAATGTTTATTTTTGCTAAGGCAAATCAACAAGAAAAAAATACTTGAAATTAAAATAGGTAAGCAGTATTCTTTTCTTTTTATCTGTCTTTTTCTTTCACATTCAGCAGCATGACATGAGGGTTCACGCTGGTTTCCAGAGATTTAAAGCTAACATCTATCTGAAATATATCCTAATCTGAAAATACTCTTAAGAGTCCTTGGTAACATTTCCTGAGAGTAATCTCGACTGTGAGCTCCTCAAGAGTAGGACTCATGCTTTGTTCTTAGTATTTCATCTAGAACATAGTTAGGTATACAGTAAGAATGGTGGAACTTTTAGACAAATGGTAACCCAAATCCTTAAAAACAATAAAACACTAAGAATCATTTGTTAGTTGATTGACCACCACTCACCTAAATTGCTACACCTAAATTTCCCTTTAATTTTTTCCCAAAAGAAATAAAATTAGCCTTCCCAGCTCTGCTCTTTATCTTTCTCCCCACCTCTCACTTTTATTTTCTTATTCTCTTCTTTTCCTTCTTGGAATTTTATTTCACCTCATTGTTGAATAATAGGATTATGACATCCCAGGTAATTTCCTCTCTTTCCTTTCTTCATTTTGCTTAGTTTCCCTGCTAATTCAGAATTAGCAGGGTAGTACCTAATAAAAATGTCTTTAAGAGTGGAGTTGTGCCATCAAAAGTAAGTTTATCCAATTTTATTGTACTTAAAAAAACTTTCTCCTTTAACCATGTAAAAAATTATTAAATAAATTTCTCCTTATTTTACTTATGTTAACATTTGGAATTTCTAATCACTTATAATTTTTGATAATATACTTCTTAGAGTTTTAAAATAGTATTAAACTACTCCAAAATAAAATGATGACTGATTTCCATAATTAAGAAATCCTGGGCTTCCCTGGTGGCACAGTGGTTGAGAGTCCACCTGCTGATGCAGGGGACACGGGTTCGTGCCCCGGTCCGGGAAGATCCCACATGCCGCGGAGCGGCTAGGCCCGTGAGCCATGGCCGCTGAGCCTGCACGTCCGGAGCCTGTGCTCTGCAACGGGAGAGGCCACAACAGTGAGAGGCCTGCGTACCGCAAAAAAAAAAAAAAAAAAAAAAGAAATCCTGTTTCTACATGACATTAATAGTTTAACCTACCATAACATTTGTTTATTCTTTTTTTCAGTATTTCCTAGAATTGTGCAGATTACATAATCCTTTGGTATTTTGTACCACAGGGCCCATATTTTATTATATACAGCCCCAAATCATTCTGATGTAAGTCATAGAAAAACATATTTGAATATTTACAGGACATACTTTAAAAATTTCTAAGGCATTCATAGTTTTAGGCCAAAAGTAAGAATAATAAGCTATGGATACAATAAAAGTGCTAAGAAAGTGACAGGTTGGATTAAGCATTGTGTTATAAAGAGCAAAGAAAAGATTACCCTGGTTGTTAAAATAGAGGAAATGGGCTAAGAGAAATTTTTAAGACTTGAGTTTTTCTTATGTATCAATCGTTAAGGTATTAAACATGACCCTACTAAGTGTAAAGGAGGATTAAGTGATAGTAAAGATTTTGTAAAGTCTCAGAGAGCATTCAGAGCATGGTCATAGGAGCAAGTTTGAGTCAAAATCAAATAATTTCCATTAAAAAGTTTTCTGATTACATGAATAAACTCATGAAATGAATAGGCTCCTATAGATGTACAATAAATTGATGAGTATATAACAAATAAAATCTTTTATAACCAATGTACTTTAGTGACATGCAGAAGGTAAAATGCCCTGACCCGAATGGTACCTAAAATACAAGTTTATATTTATTTATTTTTACTGTAGATGCAATAAGAGTTTACATTTCCTAGAAATTCTCTTTACTGAAATCATATTTTTCTTGAGACTTACTCATCTCTATAAAGTAACTCAAAAATATTTGTTAATTGCATACTAAGTTCCTTCTACTGCTATAGTTTCTCTAGTTGCAAAAGAAATGTGCATCTATCCACAAAGCCCCTGTCTAGTTGGAAAAACAGAAATGACATATGAAATAATCGGTGAATAAGGCGCTAAGGTAGATGATTGAAAGGGGTTCTCCGAACCTTTATGAATCTCCAGATTCTATAGTATAGGTATAGCATATAATTTTTTTGTGATCGTAAATACAGAGCATCATAAAGCCATATTCAGATGCAGTTGTTGAGCTCTTACTAGGCTTGCTAGCAAGTTATGTGTGTTTGTTCCCAACACCAGCTTCTTAAAATTCACGATTCTAATTTATACTTCTGCTAGTTACTCTACATAATCTACCTTTAAGGTGCTCCCAAATAATAAAAAACACAAGCATTAATTATGCCAGTTCCAAGACTATATATAGTAAAACATGAATGGTACATTATAAACATTATAAAAGGGAATCAATTTGGTCTGAAGTCGTTGAGATAGCTTTACAGGAGAATTTGAAATGATATTAAAGATCATCCTTTCCCTCAAGTGATATAGGCATCCTTCTATTAAATGCTTTACAGTTTAGATGATCCTCTAGCCTCTGCTTTGAATATCTCCTGTAAGAGATCGTGTCATTTCCCCAAAGAGCCTGTTCCTTTGAACTCTGATTATTAGAAAGCTAAAATCTCTCTTACCAGGCTTCCTCCCACTGACATATGGTTTTATCTTTGGGAGTAACATAGAACAAGCTCAATTCTTTTTTAAGTCAACCCTTCAATTATTTGCATATAATCATATGTCTGTTGTAACTCATGCCCAGTGTTACAGTTTTTTGTTTTGTTTTAACTTTTCTGGTGTGGTTTGTAATTTACCTACCTTTCATTATTGTATCCCTGTTTCTCTGCATGCCATAATTGGTCTCTTAAATTGTGGTCTGTGAATTGAATACTAAATTCTGTTCTGGAGTAGTTTACTTCCCGAGATAAAGATAAAGATGCAGTCCTCAGACTCTCTTTCATGTCTCAGTTAAGGCATTCATTCATTCACTCATTCATTCCTCAAAGGTATAAGTGCTTAGAATGTACTGAATCATGTGCTAGATGCTGGGAGTTCTGGGTGCAGCTGGTCTTCGAAAACAGGCACATGTTGTAGCCAGCAATATACGTAGACTTTAAACATAGTACTTAAGTACGGTGCAATGTGCATTGTAAAAGTATATGTAAAGTTTTATCAAAATGCAGAAAGGAAGCAATCAGTTTTGCCTTAGAGTGACCACACAGGTTATGCAGGGATGAATGCTGGCTGAATGAGGACATCCCAAGTAGAGGGAAATAGAAAAGTGTATTAAAAATATGAAGTTGGGGTAAAACCAGCACTTAGAGAAGATAATCAATTCCCTTAGAAAATTTTATTCTACAGTTGGATGACTGCTTCATAACTTACTTTAGCATTAGCAGACCCTGAGGAAAGGGTTCCAGAGCATGTCATTTATTTGGGAGATAATACCATGAAAAACCAGTAGGGGAGTGGAGAAACAAGACTAGGAAGGGAAGAGAAGGTAGCCAATAACGGGTTTTTAACAATCAAGCAAATTAACACTGTGGGTAACTGAAACTTAATCCCACTGCTGAACTGTGGAAGCCAGTAGAGAAACAGCCTCAGTTATTCCACCACGGGGCATGGGAGTTGGGGATTTTTACCCACCAATTCCATTCGGTCATTGTTTTGGGGCTCTTACAGAACACGCTGGGGGCATGAATTCTACACCACCTATATAGCCTTCTGCATAGTTTGGTGAGCAAAGGAGGCTCAGAAGGCCAGAAAAAGCCAGAGGACACAGAAATGCAAATGCAGGTAGTTTGAAGTGAAGCAGGTGTCCACTGAAGTAGTGAAGGCACGGAAAGATGGCCAGGGTTATATTTTATCATTAAAAAAATCTAATTATTATCATGACTTCATTTCATTTTTTTCTACTCATATACCCTGTAGTTAGTCTTTAAAGATACAGTTTTAAATGTTCTGATACTGAATGTTTCTATTTTTTTTCTTTTGGCAGACTAATCAACACTTTTTGAAAACAGTAACTGAACAAACTGTGGAAATTGAGCAACTCCGAAAACAACTTAGGTATTTTCAAAAATGATTTTTGTTATTTTATTAATAATTACTTTTCTTCAGGGGAAGCACTGGTGTCATAATTTTTCCCGTGAGTGTTTTTATTTTTTCCTCCCTTTTAAGCTGCTGTCAGTAGCTTCTTGTGTGCATGATCTTTTGGGACAAGAAGAAACTGAAATCAAGACTATCAGTCAGGCAACAACTGTAATACATATATGTGAAGGGCTGTTCCATGATGGCAAAACTAGTGCTTATGGAAGAAAGTCAGTCCTCTTCCTGGGACTTCTGGGAACCAAGCCAGCCCCTCCATCAGCCCCCAGGGCCTTGCCTTCTGAACACCCCAGGGCCCATTGGCCTCTGGACACTGTCTTCCCACCAGAGCCCCGCCCACCTCCGGGGGCTGTCTGTAATGGCCCGCAGATCCCCAATTCCCGGATCCCCTCTTCCCCACCCCCAGGCAGGGGCAGAATAAATGTTTATACGGATTTTAGAGCTCAAAAAAAAAAAAAAGAAAGAAAGAAAGAAAGAAAATCAGTCCTCTTAAAAATTTTTTCTACACATATCTTTCTTTGTATTCTCCCATAAGCAGACCCTAAGAGTTTGAAAGCACGTAGTTTATTTAGAGGTAATACCAGTAGAGGTAATACCAGGAGAGGAGTGGGGAAGTGAGATAGGGAAGGGGAGGAGAAGGCAGCCAATAAGGGGTTTTTAAAAACCAGGCAACTTAATACCGTATGTCTATATTATGGTCCAGTGGTTTAAAAATCATTGCGTCAATAGACTTCACGGGAAAAACTCTAAATGACAAAAAAAAACATTTTTTCACATTTCATTCCCCTTAGTCATAATACTTAAAATTCAGAAGCTTAGTCATATAAGGTTTTTTGCTGTGATTCTGTCATGTAGAAATATCTTTAAATTGTAATGTAAATTTATATTTTACAAAAATTGTAAGTTACTGTTTGTTAAATGAAGCTTGCTATTTATTTTTCCCACCATCATGTATTTTGCCCTGCAAATGCATTATATTGGTTTTGTTTTGAAGGAAAACTTATTTCACGAAATTATTTTTTATTTTACAAAATTTTATATACCAGTTTTCATATTATTATCTTATTACCTTCATGAACTTTTAAATTTAATTTAATAAATTTACCTTCTTTTCCCCTAGACATTTTTACTTGTTGGCTCTTATTTAGTTCTTCTTATTTCTTTCAAAGTTATTGATTTTGCAATTTAAAATACTAATGATTTATATAATTGCAAGATCTTCTTCCTCTTTTTTTCAAAATAGAAGTGGCTTTTTAAATTATAATAGTAATGGAAGTTCATTATAAAAATACTTTAGATAGTATGAAAATATATCAAATTGCAGTACAATTCTGACAGTAAGTTATTACAGACTCCACAGGTTAAGAGCACAATCCCCAATGTGACTACACTCACTCAGATGCCAGCCACAAGTTCAGGGGTCCCCAGGCCACTCATACCTCTGACCAATTGAATACAAATGTGGGTGTTCTCACTAACCCCCAGGCTTAATAGTTCTTGAAAATGGCTCAGAAAACTCAGGAAAGCACCATACTTATGATTAAAACTTTATTATAAAGGACATAAATCAAAACCAGCCAAAAGAAGAGACGTAACTGGGTGAGATCTAGGAAGGTCCCAAAAGCAGAGCTTCTGTGTCCTCTGCCCATGGAATCAGGGTATGTCAACATCCTGGCACAGCAGTGTGTTCGCTAGCCAGGAATCTCGCCTAAGCCTCAGTGTCCTGAGTTTTTATTGGGGTTTCATTATGTGCATTTGACTTATATTCAATGTAAATAAATTTATATTACAATTAAATGGTATATATAATGACTGCATCATAGAGCAAAACCTTATATGAATAAGCTGAATTTTAAGTATTATGACTGATCGAATGAATCATTGATCACTTGATTGAACTTAGTCTCCAGACCTCCTTCCCTCCCTGAGAGTCAGGAGGTTGGGCCTATATCACGTGGCTCAAAGCTCCAACCCTCTAATTACATGGGGCCTACCGTGAGTCATTTCATTAGCATAAACTTAGGGGTAGTCCCAAGTGCCTACCATGAATAACAAAGATACTGCTATTACTTGGGAAATTCCAAGGGTTTATATTCTCCATCCTAGAAACTTAGACAAAGACCAGACAAATTCTTTATTATACAACTCTTTTTAAGTGGAAAATAAATATCTCATAATTCCATTATTTAGAGTTAACTATTATTAACTTTTTAAATGTATAACTTAGGTTTGTGTATTTAAGTATTTTAGTTTAAAAAGGGGGGGATGATATACATACTAATAGCCTAATTGTTTTTTCTTATAGATTATATGAATATCATATCAATATTATCAACCATAACATTATATAGTATACTATTATATGGATGTGCTATATTTATTTGTTAAATTCTTATTCACTTTCCACTGTGAAAAAGGCTACTTGTTCATTGAACATTACAATTAGAGCAGTTTTAGAACAGTAAATACATAATAGTTAGCCGTAAGTTAGTCTTGGATGTTATTATTATTTATTGTTATTATTAAATAAAATTTTAGTACTACTAAAGAAATTAAAGTGAATCTTATCTAATTAAGACATTTAAAAGAAAGGCCAACTTGGTTGAATGTTTTGTTTTACATTTTTTTAAACTTCCTTTTAAAATTGTTTTATGATAAAAACACTAGACCCTAAAGCATAAACTGACAGAAATATAAGGCATGGCAGAACAAGTCCATAATCATAGTAAGGATTTTAACTCTTTAAGTGACTGATAGATATAGAAGATGTGATTTATGTGATTAACAACTTGATCTAACAGACATCTCTGAAACATTGAATCCATTTATTTAATAAATATCTAGCAAGCATCTACTATTGCCAGGCTCTACACCTGGGGTATATCAATGTATAATACAGTTGAAGACTTCTGTCCTTTTGGAACTTACATCCAGCAGGAGCAAGCAGACAATAAACACAATATCTCAGTAGGTTAGGAGACAATTAGTGCCAGAGAAGAACAAAACAAAACAAAAGATCAGGATGAGAGATCTGGAGTGCTAGGAGCAGTGGTGAAGTTGCAGTTTATTTTTAGTAGAGTATTCAAAATAAGCCTCCCTTGAGATTTGAACAAAGACTTGAAGGATGTGAACAAATAATCCATGCAACACAGGGAAAGTGTCTAGAGTAAAGAACTTGCCATTGCAGAGGTGGAAATGTGATTGGGGAACAGCGAGGAAGCTAGGTGCCTCTCATCTATTGCTGAGTAACAAACCATTGCAAAACTTGGTGACTCAAAACAATAACTTATTTAGATTATGATTTGGGAGAGAAGAGAACAGGTTTTCTGGTCTGGGCCTGCAGGGCTGATATCTACTGAGCTTGTCTATTTGTCTCTAGCCAGCTGGTCGGTCTGCTAGCAGCATGGTCTGGTAGTTGGCAGCAGATGATAAACCTGTCTGGCAATTGGCAGTCTCTTCACCAGGTCAACAAGGCACATCTTACTTCTTCACTTGGCCATTCCCCAGAATAGCAAGAGAGCAAATCCCAACGTACAAATACTTTCCAAGTCTCTCTTGGATCATATGGGGTTGACCAAAAAGTGCCTTTGGTTTTTAAATAAGAATAAAAGACACATTTTTCATTTTCACCAAAACTTTATTGAACAACGTATTCACCCTTTTGTTCCACTACCTTCTGCCGTTTTTCAGGCAGCTTCATAATTCCATCTTCCCAAAACTTTTTATCTTTTTGAGCAAAGAACTATTCCAGATGTCTTTTACAGTCTTCCAGGGAATTGAAATTCATTCCATTAAGAGAATTTTGTAAAGACTGAAATAAATGGAAATCTGAAGATGCAATGTCTGGCGAATATGGCGGATGAATCAGAACTTCCCAGCCAAGCCGTAACTGTTTTTTGCCTGGTCATCAAAGAAACATGCAGTCTTGCATTATCTTGATGGAAGATTATACATTTTCTGTTGACTAATTCTGGACGCTTTTCATCGAGTAATGCTTTCAGTTGGTCTAACTGGGAGCAGTACTTATTGGAATTAATCATTTGGTTTTCCGGAAGGAGCTCATAATAGAGGACTCCCTTCCAATCCTACCATATACACAACATCACCTTCTTTGGATGAAGACCGGCCTTTGGTGTGGTTGATGGTGGTTCATTTCACTTGCCCCATGATCTCTTCCATTCCACATTGTTGTGCAGTATCCAATTTTTATCACCCGTCACAATTTGTTTTAAAAACGGAACGTTTTCATTACTTTTAAGTAGAGAATTGCCTGTGGAAATACGGTCAAGGTTTTTTTCACTTATGTGGAACCCAAACATCAAAGCGATGAACATAAACAAGCTGGTGCAAATGATTTACAACGCTTGATTTGGATATTTTGAGTATTTTGGCTATCTCCTGCGTGGTATAACATTGATTGTTCTCACTTAATGTCTCGATTTGATCGCTATCAACTTCAACTGGTCTACCTGACCGTGGAGGATCGCCCAGCAAGAAATCTCCAGCACGAAACTTCGCAAACCACATTTGACATGTTCAGTTAGTCACAGCACCTTCTCCATACACTGCACAAATCTTTGTGTTCCATTTTTACCTTTTATGAAATAAATAAAGCATAATATGCCAAAAATGTTGCTTTTTTCCTTCCATCTTCAATATTAAAACAGCTACACAAAAAATCACCAATTTTGATGTCATTTTTTAAATGCACACTGATACGACAGCTGTCACATACAATCTAATAAAATTGTTTCAAATGAAGTTAAAGACAACTAAGTGTTACTAGAGCCATCTTATGGAAAAAACTGAACGAACCTTTTAGCCAACCCGATTTTTGGTAATTTCTCATGGCAAAGCAAGTCACATGGTCAACCCAAATTCAAAGGATAGGGAAAAAGATACCCCTTTTGATGGGAAGATTTTCAGCATCATGTTGCAAAGATGTGAATAAGAGAGGGAAG